GTCTCATTGAGATTCACACAGACTTATGTTCAACCACTAACCTTTGACCTCAGGCCAAATTTTACCACAACTGCTTTTCTGCAATGATTATTAAAACAACTACACTTAAGCTACTTAGTCCATACAGGTTTATGTTTATTTCTTGTTCAATTTTATCTCTCTGATTTTGAACATTTATAGAAATAAATATATTTTTGTATATTAATGCTGTCATTTGATATAATATACATTACACTTTCACTTCAGATCACTAGTAATGCTGATTAGGGCAGGAATAGTGACACCCATGACCCCCTTCTTTTGAGTAATACCTAATTCATTAATCAACTCTGGTAACTCAAGTTCATAGTATAGTGGACTGACTACAAATCTATTCAACTGTATTTTTACATATGGCCTCTCTATATAGTTTTGGGTTTTTACCAGTGTAGTTGGCTATCCTATCACAAAATGGATTTATTTTTGGGATTATGAGATGGGATTAATGCAGAAAGAAATTTGTAAGAGCAGCATTGGCTTGAACTGGAAGAGCTGGAGCACGAGTTTTGGTCATCACTTGGGGAAAACAGGGTACTATCAATTTAGTAAAAATAAGGGTCATTATTATGCATGCTATTCTTGATGAACAACTAAGAGCAGGCATATAATTTTTAAAAGAAAATTTCTGATCAAGAAATGGCTTCTGAACATAAACTTTTACATTTCAAGAAAATCACTGTGTGTATTTCTGAAACCTAACAAAAACTAGTTATATAAGTTATATTTTTTGCCAGTAAAGACTTTAATTTTCTTGAGGAAGTGATATTTGCATATATATTTGAAAAAGACCCCTTACCCCCAGCTCCCAGGGAGAAATACAAGCTGCTACTGATGATTTTTGCTAATAAGCCTACAAGCTTGCCATCTAGTGGTGACTCATGTAAAATTAAGGCAGTTGATAATTATTAAGATTATTTCTTTTTTGTTTCTTTTGAAAAAAGCAAAAGATTCCTTATAGGTACGTTCACGCGCGCACGCGCGCGTGCGCGCGCGCGCGCACACACACACACACACACACACACACACACACACACACACACACACACTATGGTCTCATGTTTAAGTGAAGCTGGGAAATAATGCTCTTTCTCTTCCCCCTCAGTGAAGTTTAGATGGAAGCCAATGTGATTCTTCAATGTAAGATGAGTTTGGAAATGACTTGAATGTGACATGTTGGATCTGTCCTCTATTCTGAGAGAAGTATCACTCATTCACTCTCTTATCTAATCTCATCTACTCGTTTCAATTTAGTAAAAATACAATTATTAAGCATCATGCCTGACAATGCAAAATGAACCACATACGATCTTTGACACACAAAAAAAATTGTATAAAAAAAATAACTTAGTGCACTGGCCAAGAGGCTCAGATAGTTGGGGTGTCATCCTGTACACCAAAAGTTTGCAGGTTCAATTCCAGGTCAGGGTGCATACCTAGATTGTAGGTTCCATCCCTGATCAGGGTGTATGCAGGCTCTCTCTCTCTCTCTCTCTCTCTCTCTCTCTCTCTCTCTTTCTCTCTTTCTCTCTCTCTTTCTTTCTCACTAATGATCATGTCCTTGGGTAAGAATAACAAAAAACAACAACTTGGTAATGATGTAATAATAAAATTGTTAAATATATTAATATTGCTTCAGTTACCAATTTTCACCTATAATGTGGCTGGCAATGCTCTAGTTGATTTGTCATTTGATTTTGAACTTTTTCCCATCTGACTATAAATACTGAGTATGTGAATGCGTGCTTCCCATGATGGCTCTCTCTTTTTCGCATAAAGTTAAACAAATATAAAATTAATATGTCTCAGTGCAATTTGTGATGTAATCCTAATTTTGTTAAATTTATTCTATATTCCTACCTATTTTATCCCATAATATATTTATCACTGCAAACCTCACCAACCCTTAACACATTCCTATAGAAATTATGATTGTGTAGAACCAGAATTACTTAGTTTCTTATACATATACTAGAGGCTTGGAGCATGAAAATTCATGCACTGGAAGGGAGGGGGAATGTCCCTCAGACCTGCCTGCCCCCTCTCACAGTTCGGGAGCCCTCAGGGGCAGGAGGCGACCCAGTGATCAGGGGAAGATGACGCACCCATCACACCTCTGCTGCTGCCACTGCCCGCAGCCCAAGCCTTGGCCGGAAACTGGTTCCCTAAGTTTCAGATGACCCTGGGCAGCTGAGCAACTGCCATCTGAAGTTTGCCTGCACCTCGGGTTGGTCCTGGGTGACTGGGGTGCTGAGGAGACTGGGGGACTCTGGAGGCAGACACGGTGGTGCTGAGGGGACTGGGCACCGCCATCTTGTGGCTCATCATCTTTGAGGACGTGGCAGTCAATTAGCATATTCCCTTATTGGCTGTGGGCACTGCCATCTTTAAACCTAAATTATGAATTACTACAATGGTGTGTGTGTGTGTGTGTGTGTGTGTGTGTGTGTATGCACACATATACATATATATTTCAACATTCTTAAATTAGAAAACAAAAATGGAGAGAATCTTTTTCCTTTTTGAGTAATTTGAAATATATTGGAATGAACATAATACTTAATAACTATCCTGTAAATTGTAATTTTAGTAAAAGAACACTTCTATGTAAACATTTATGGCATTTAAGAAACAGACAACACTCTGCTGAGAAGTAAAACTGACCTAGAAAAAGGGAAAGGGAAGTGAAGCTTTAATTTTCAATTACTGACTTTTCAGAGCTTAGAGAAGTTTTTAAACAATAGCCCAGTTGTAAGTCTATTCCCTTGGGACCATCCCACATAATTCAGAAATAATTAATGCAGATGGGAAGAAAGTTGTTGCAGTTTATAGGGGTAGCTATGAAGAAGAGAATGTTTAGGCTACTGCAGCCATGTGGAATTGGAGGTGCAATTAAGTCAGATCTATATAATTTGATCTCTGCCTTTATTAGCCAATGGCTACAAGAGTACTAAAATAATTGCAATGAACTACTGTCTTGTATATTTATTTCTTGAATTTTTCCTAGTTCGATGTCATCTCCATGAAGGCATATGCCTGTCTTCCATGGGACAAAACCAAGCACATAGTTAGCCTGACATAAACCACTCTGTCCATTCCTCTCTTTATGTAGTCTAAAAGTTAAAGCTTGCACTTTGGAAAGGGGCAGAACCAGGTTAAGATCCTGGCACTCAGCTTATAAGTTGTTATGGCTTTGGGCAGATCTTTGAACTCCTAGTCACTCAGTTTCCTTACCTGTAAAATGGGATAGTAATAGAATTTACCCCTAAATTCTATTACTAGAGAGAATTCAATGAAATTATGAATATAAAGCCCTCAGCACGAGATGTATGCATAGATAGTTCTCAATCACAGCAGATCTTACCAGACTTCATTGAATAGCAAATGTTGGGTTGTTCATCTGCTTTTAAACTTTGTTGCTATTAATCATACAGAAGAGCCTGCTGCAAGGCACATTTGCACCTATTACCAGCCACCATATTCTGATTTGGTGGAACTGCAAAGAGGCTCAGAAATTTGCTTTATGTGTTTGTTTGTTTTTAACCCTCAGTAAAGAATGGAAGAGAGTGGGGAAGAGGGAAAGAGAGGGAGAGAAAGAGAAAGAGAGAGAGATTGACATGAGAGAGATACATTGATTGGTTGCCTCCTATTTGCACCTTGCCTGGGGGCCAGAGGTTGAACCTGTAAAGGAAATCAAACCCGAGACCCTTCAGTTCATGAGCCAACTAACCACTAAGCAAAACTGGCCAGAATAGAATGTGCATTTTTAACATGCATATGGGAGTAATTCTGATGAAGGGGTTTTTTGACCACTCTTGGAGAAACACTGCTTTAGAAAGAGAAACCTCAATTTCCAGATTTCTGAAGAGATGGGCAAGCTAATAATAGTCACATATTACTTTGATTCTCAGGGTGGGTAATGGAAGTAGAGGAAGAACTACCATCTTGGGGGAGGAGAGGATTGAATCAATTCTTTAAAATTCCAGCCTGAATAGCCAATAAAATTTGTTATTCCCATATTCACCAGAGGAGACAGACTGATGTCCAGCTCAATTCTTTCCAACACTCCCTTGACAACAGGCCCTGAAAGAGCGCTCATTTGCTCTCCTGGGGAACTATATCTTCCCAGTGATGAGGGGAGTGAGGTGGTTCATAAAAAACAAACCAAATCATTTTAAGGGGGGTTAGAATGTCTCTGAGTTTTTAAATTAGCCATCATCGTGATTGCTTTTATACTGAGGAGCTTGTTTTTAAAAACTCAGATGATTTTTTTTTAGCTTATAGACCATACAGGGGTGGGCAAAAGTAGGTTTACATTTGTTCATATGTGAAACACAGAGTTAATTATTATATTATTATTGATTTCAGAGAGAAAGGGAGAGGGAGAGAGAGATAAAAACATCAATGATGAGAGGTAATCATTGGATTGAGCATGCAACCTGGGATGTGCCCTGTCTGGGAATTGAACTGTGACCTCCTGGTTCATAGGTCAATGCTCAACCACAGAAGCTCGCTGACCAGGTTGTATTATTTTCTATATGAACAATTGTAAGCCTATTTTTGCTCACACTTGTATAATTGGAATGTAAATTTGGGAGACTAAAAGAAACAAAAAAGGCTTCCTTCCCCCCCCCCCCAAATAAATCTTTCTAAAATAAAAATGCTGTAGATAAATTATACAAATATAAATGCTCCTCTCACTATCCTGGACTCACCCACGTCCCTAGGCTCCCTGAGTCCCTGAGTTCTGTTCCTATCCTCCTGCCTCAGGTTTTCATTTGCTGATAGTGAGTGCTCCCAATGGCACATTAATCATTATAGATCAACATAAAATATTAGTTTCCCAGTAGTTACTGATGGCCAGTTGAATAGTAGCCTTTTGTGTGTTTTTTTAAGAGAGAAAAATTCATATTTACTCATGAGTGCTTGGAACTCAAGATGCCCTGAAGTTGCATTTCTCTTACCAGCAGGTTCTCCGGCTTGATGTCACGGTGGACGATGTTCAGGCTATGCAGGTATTTGATAGCACTGGCCAGGTTGTACAGCATCCCACTGGCATCTCTCTCAGTGTATTTGTTTGTGGAAGTAATGGCATCAAAGAGGTCTCCACCCTGAGAAGAGAGCAGCAGGCGTAGCAGCAAATGAACAGATGGCCCAGTGGAGCTGCCCTGAGGAGGGACTGACACATGGAGAATGCGGGCAAAACCTTCGGCTTCCCAGGGCTTTCTCTGCCACTTCCTCTCAAAGACCTACAGACTTCATGGGGATTTCTCTCCCCATTGAAAAGCCATTTCCCTCTCAAAGACCTACAGACTTCATGGTGACTTCTCTCCCCATTGAAAAGCCACTTTCCTCTCAAAGACCTACAGACTTTATGGGGATTTCTCTCCCCATTGAAAAGCCATTTTCTCCAGAGCTCAAAGAAAGAAGCAGGGTGAGGACTCTTGCCCACCTATGTATGGCTGCAATCTTTTCATGGGCTCAAGCCAGCATGGAGGGACAATGCCGGTCTCCAGGGCAGAGGCTTTGTGACACCTGGGTGTCCTTGCGGTGTGTGGTACTTGCCTTATGCCAACTCCCAGCAGAAGTTCATAGTTATAATCCTACCACCTCAAATGAAAAACAGGTAATAGTGCAAACCACACCCTTCTACCATGTGAAAATTCTCACACACACACACACACACACACACACACACACACACACATACACACAATTCCTTTCACTCTAGATTTATCTCTCTTGGGATGGGACTAGTGTTTTCTTTTTCAATGCTGTCATTCTTTGTAAAAAACAGAGGAATGGACCAGAAACTGTCATCCTAAAAATGAGAAAGAAAGAAAGAGGGTGAAGAAATTTCAAAGAAAGTTTGCTAAGACCGTTACTCACCTGAACTTTTGTTTCCCTGTTCCCTGCTAATTTATTGTTATTTGGTAAAAAAAAAAAAAAATACTTTAGGCTCCAGTTTTAGCTCCATTTGTTGGAACTGGGTCGGAGAATGTGGAATTGATTCACTAGCGGGGTTTGCATCCTTCTTGCATCATACAATGCCCAAACAGTGGAGCACAGTCTCCAGCTGTGCTCATCTGCTACCTGGCATGGCTGGGACTTAATATTTGTTTTTAAATAGCAAAAGCAGGATAGAGCACTCATAACCTAACAATTTTCAAATCTCTCTGTAGGACCTGGCCTTATGTTGTTGCCCTATACAATTTCTACTCAAGAGGTTCTCACTGTCCAGTCAACCTCAAAATATCCAAAGTGTTGAAATAATGCATTTCCCCCCCAAAAAATGAACACTTTTCTGGACATCCTGTTTATCTCCAGGCAAGGCTGCTATAAATGAGTTTTCAAGTTATTTCCATGCCACTCCACTGCTGTCTATGTGTGAGGCTGTATATGGTGGCCCACAATGACTCTATCCTTTTCCTAATTATCCAGGCTCCAGGCATCCTGTAATCTCATTTCCTCTTCATCCTCAAAAAAAGGGGCCAATAAAGCCAACCAACCCCTCCTTTAAGGCATGCCTGATACACCTCCTTCTGAATAAATGTTCTTCATCGCTGAGTTGTTGTGATGTCGCCAGGTAACCTGCACTGCCTCTACGGGCTCTGTACCCAAAGAACCCTGTGCACTGGCATATTGATATGGATTTTCTTTCTCTCTTCAAGGATTCAGCATTCCTTTCCCATAGCTCTCCAAGATCTTCTCCCACCTTCATTCTAACTTATCTAAACTCATCTCTTGTCACTATCTAGAGACATTCATGATCCCTGGTCACTAAAACATGCCTAGATCACTCTGTACTCCAAACCTGTCCTCATTAGAACTCCCTTCCTGGAATATCCCCTGTACTCTCTTTGTCTTTGTCTTTTCTTTTATAAATATATTTTTTTATTGATTTCAGAGGGAGGAAGGGAAAGAGAGAGAGACAGAAACATTAATGATGAGAGATAATTATTGTTCAGTGCTCTCCTGAATGCCTCCAGCTGGAGATCAAGCCCACCCTGGCATATGTCTCAATCAAGAATCCAACCATGACCTCCTGGTTCAGAGGTTGAAGCTCAACCACTAAGCCATGAGGCTGGGCTCCCTTTGACTTTTTAACTCCTGTTGAATTCTAGGGCCTGGCCACAGGGCCACCTTCATCCAAAAGGTTTGCCTTCCTCTGTGCACATAAGCAGGCAATGGTGTAAAGTCCTGTTATTAATAATCAGGAAATTTAAATTATCTTTAAATAGATTTTATTGTGTTTTACAGAGAGGAAGGGAGAGATAGAGAGAGTTAGAAACATCGATGAGAGAGAAATATCCATCAGCTGCTTCCTACACACTCCCTACTAGGGATGTGCCTACAACCAAGGTACATTTCTCTATCCACTGAGCCAAACTGGTTTTGGAAACTTATTTATTTTTAATCCTCACCCAAGAATATGCTTTTTTTAAATTGATTTTAAAAAAGCATTAAGGAGAGAGAGAGGGAAAGGGGGGAAGGAAGGAAAGAGAGAGAGAAAGATATCAGGTCTTAACTGGAAATTGAGCCTGTGACCTTTGATATGGACAATGCTCCAACCAACTGAGCTGAACCTGGCAAGGGCTGAATTTGACTTAGTAATTTTTATTTCACTGTATTCTGCAATTCAAACCTTGTTTTTCCTGTATCTTTGGCACACCACTGGATTCTTACGGTTTGAAAAACATGGCTCCATCAAAATTTTTCAGGGATCAAGTCTTGGATTGGCCTTGACTTCCAGACCTGGCTTCACAGAAGTTCTGGGTCAGGTCAAATGTAATGGTCTGATCTAGCGGCTCTCTGCAGACACTCTCTGGCCTTGTCAGGCTATCTTGGCCACCAAGAGAAAGTTCACAAAGTTTGTTAAGGACACAAGGACCTCCTTAGCTATAGTCACCAGACTAAATGACTGACATAACAAGTTTCCCCATAAAATGTGTTCCAAGCTCTTAAGTCTTTGCCTTTTTTATGTCTCATCTTCAAATTTAACTTAGTTGTAGTTGCCTAAAACTAGGCCAATGAGTTTTTTTTAAAATGTATTTTTGCAAATAAAACCTTTTATTTCCACAACACAATACAACTTCCCTTTGCCCCAGGAACATAAAATAACCTGGGCCATCAAAGCACAGGACAAAGACTGATAAAGGACAGAAGGCAAGTGGTTACTAGAAAAATAAAGTATGCCCAAGGCTCTCCTCCTGGGGACCCAAATCCTACTCCTGTCAGGGCTCATCAAACAGAACCAAAGACATGAAGAGGGGATGGAAACTGACAAAAAGAACTCCACTGAACAAAGGGGAAAGGAGCTTGGCAGTTACAAGGGTAGGGTGAAATGTGCTCCTAAATTAAGTGCTGGATAAAAAAGGTGAGAAATAATATTTTTGGGGTTGTAATGGTATGTAGTTTCAATCATGTCTACCATTCCAGATTTCTAATTGAAACTGAATTCTGGCTAGTTTATGAAGATAAAAATTAAGGATAGAAGAAAGCTTAGAATCCCCCCTTTCCAGGAAAGTTGGTGGTTCTTTATTATATAGCTGTACTCTTTACCCAACCTGCCTCCCCTCAAAAAGCTTCAAATCCCTTGGCTAAAACTTGCATCAGAAAATAGAATTGCAATGAGGGTAATCATGAGTCTTGCCCAAATCCTTCAGCCTGGGAACTGATATGAAGGTTGAAGAGCAGAGATGTGGAAAGGAAGTTAATAAAATTAAATATCCCCTCTCCTACTCAAGCTCAAGCCCTGAGTGGACATGGAAAGAAGACCAGAAAGCTGTTACTAGTGATCCATGCAGACATGTTGGATAGATAGTAGCTGGAGGCCAGCAGGGTTCCTTAGACTCAAAGCAGGGTCTTAGGGTCAAGGAAGAGCAGGAAGCAATGCAGTAACAGTTTTTGGAACTTTTGAGCCCCCAAACTTGGGCCACCCTCCACCACCACCCACCCCACCAGGGGCCCCTGTGAGTGTCAGGCTACTCAATTTTTAACAGCACACAGAGGGGCAAAGGAATGATTTGAAGTTTGGTTTTTTGTTTGTTTGTTTGTTGTTGTTTTTTAATCTCAAAAATAGCATCATTATAAAAATACTATCCCTGGTGCTAGAAATGTGTAATTTCCATTGTTTTATGTTGGTGAATAAAGCTTAAAGCTTGTTTTTATAGAAATGGGTAACACATTTGGATGCAGTTCATGGAAAAGTGAACAATTTCTACCACAACAATAACAACAATGACCATCTTGGTATCTAATACTTTCTTTGTCACACAAACTAGTGGAAGCCATTCCTCTTATCCCCACAATATCACTCCTAGGTAAGAACTACTATTTTACATATAAGGAAACTAAAGCAGAGAGAGGTATCCCAAGATAAGGAAACTATTTAGGTAAAGGCTGGGACTTAAACTCTTGTGATATAATTCTAATTAATACTCTTAACCATGATGCTAAGTATTGAAATGAAAGGCTGAATATTGATGAGAGGAAATAAAGAACTATATGATAGAGAAAATGTGAATGCTTGAACAGGTTTCTTTTTCTAAAATACATACCTTTACCAATTCCATAACAAGATACAGTTCAGTTGGCACATCCATCTCTTCAATCAGAAGAACAATGTTGGGATGCTTCACTCTTCTTAAGATAGACACCTCGCTCTGGATCATGTGCTCCTGTCCAAAGGAGAAATAATATTAATCAATACTCATATCCAAACATGGGAGAAGCTAACTCAGCATGAGTAAAACCCTACTATATGAAGTTCCAGGGACATGTATTTTGGTTAAATATCTTAGATTCTGATATTCACATAGCCTAGAATTGTCAAAAAATATTGAAGGTTTTTAAGATGATGCTTGTAATTTCAGAACCCATCACAATAACTATAAGTTCAAGTAGAAAGAAGGAAAGAAAATTAAGATCACAAAAGTAATGGAAGAAAGTAAACAAACAAGCAAATAAAGATAAGAAACAAAAATTACATTAAACTATTTTAGCTAACTTTTATTCCAAGACTATTTACAAAATAAAGTTATTATCTAATAAGTATATAACTTTCTATTCCACCAAAATGCAACAAGTGGGATGAATTTATGTTTATTTAGGAGCTGATCCTGAATACCTGTATTTCCATAAGAATAAACTTTGTACATACTTTGCCTCGACATTTGCTTTTCTTGATAATTTTCAGTGCATACTCCCTAGCAGTTGACCTGCAAAGAGAAAGATTAAAAAAAAACACTTAATTTTGGATATATTAAATCATCTTATTAAGGATTTATATCTTATCCCAACCACCTTGAATCATGGTATAAATATTTTGTGAATGACTTTTTTCCTTTTTTATTTATTTTACTTTTTAAAAATTTATCTTTATTATTGAAAGTATTAAGATGTCTTCTTCCTCCCCTCTTCCCCCACCGCCATTGACCCCTTCTAGCCCATATCCATATTGTCTGTGACTATGGGTTAAGCATATATGCATATAAGTTCTTTGGTTAATCGTTTCCCACTGGCCCACCTATCCTTACCTTCCATCTGAGATTTAAATAAATATTTAAACTTTCAGGAATTGAGCATAAAGACAACAAATATGCTAGCAGAGAAACATCATAAGCTATTCATGTGGCCATACCTGTAATGAAACCACTACTATTGCTACTGGTTGGCATATCTCCTGCTCCATTGCCCAGCCCTCTGAAGTGATGTGATTAGTATGTAAAACAGATATAAGTTTCTGCCTTTCCTCTTTCCAGTTTCCCTTGAGGTTCTCTTTCTATGAAGTATGGATCACATGATCACTCTGAAAACTCTATAAAGAAGCAGTTCACACTTTTTAGACTTTGTTTCAGGGTACAAGCCTATAAGGTTTTCTAGAGAACTCATGAATAACGTGTTTAAGGTGTAGAAAGAGATAAAATTGTTATCTGAGCTGTCTGTAACCTTCTGGGTCTTTTATGGCTGTCTCATTCCCCAGAAATAAAATGGAATCAAGATCAACTCACTTTCCCAAAGCTCCATTGCAGTGTAAAATGCAGAACTCTGAGCTTTTGAGGTCTCTGTTTCACATATATCCCAACCAATACTGCCCCTATTCCGTGACAGGAGTGGGAGGGAGGGTTTAGCCATACTGTTACCTTTAAATAGCTTCCTAACTTGTGTTAATATTTCTAAGATACTGTAGTGCAAAACAGCACTTGTTTATTGTCAAAGGATACAATGCATATTTAGTAATCCATAATAACCACTACTTAATAAGCAAAGCCATTTTATTTCTGGTAGGAAACCAAGACAGCCTAGCCTTTCCTATATAGATAAAAGCCAAGTTTACGGACAAAATGAATATGTTTATTTAGGAGCTGATCTTTGTTTCTACATGAGATTGATAAAGAACAAAATTTTAAAATAGGGTTTTAAAGCTTCATTACAAAAAATGAAAGATGGGGGTGGGGTGGGGAGAGGAGGGTTCCCAGTTATACGGTTAGAGCAAGAGAGTGATTTTCTATAACCAGATTAAGAAGCCAGACATTAAAAATGTGTTTCAAGAGCATTTTAGAAATCAGTCTTATCATTTGCTTCTAAAAATGCAACTCCCACTTCACTTCCAGGCCCCTGCATGATGCTGACTTACAAAAAACAATAAATATTGACTATATTGTTGTAGTTATATGTGACGAATAAAACCAGAATAAAATAATCACTTTGAAGCCCATTTTCTCCACTAGTTCAAATGTGCAAAGTTAAACCCTCTGCCTCAGGGAGGCTCTTCTGCAGAGATGTGGGGTGTCCAGAGAAAATCAAATTGCTCCAGTCTCATGAATAAAAGGCCAAAAGACAATGTTGAATCAATCTTTGTTGATTCTTCAGGCCCACAGCTGGACAGAGGAGCCATAATGGAGAAAGCATGAGCTGGTTTTGGCTAAATGCTGGGCTTGGTTGTTCAATGTCCCAAACAAACACCAAACCATCAGCAAAGCTATGGCATAGGGGTATAGAAAAAACTCTTCAGTAAGAGAAAAAAATGAAAGATTTGTTGTTAGAAATTTCAACTGTGTGGTCGAATAATAAATGAGGAAGAGATTCCTCACATCGTAGGAAAATCACAGGCCCTTTAGGTAGTCTCCTCTTACAATACTTCTAGAGACTTTATTTGCAAATTTAAGAAAACTGAATCAAGAGGAAGACTAAAAGCTGAAGTACTGCTGGACTCTGCTTTTCATGAGTGACTAAAAGATTATAACACAAATCTTAGATTAGAATCCATGAGCAATTTCTTATCTGGTTTAAAAGATCTGATGGCAGGCAAGTCTGATGGCAGGCAAGTCTGGACTCTTGGAACTGACCTTTCCAGCTTTTGGGGTCTCTGCTTCACATATATCCCAAAAGGCCCATTCCCATCAGTGCTTCTACAAAGTAGAAGAATGGATAGGACAGTGCTGATAAGGAGGGGGATTTCAGTATTTTTGCCATTTCACTCTCCATTTTCCTGGAATGAGGAACATGGAGGTCCTCAAAGCAAAGGGCTGGTATGGGACCCAGGAAGATGACATCTCTTCTATAGCCAGAAATGCAAGCAGAAGGATCCTCAGGGAGGAAGCTAGTGTATTCCCTCCCAGGGCTCCAAGCACTCCAATTATGTCCTGAGCTACAACTGTGTGGGAAATGCATACAAGCCTAAGATATAGTGGTCCCAGGGTTTAATAGGAAAAGGACCTTATGGGTTCAATACATAGAACCTCACACAATAGGATTAAACACTCAATTAGATTTACCCATCCTATATAACAAAAAGCTAATATGCAAATTGACCGAACAGCAGAAAGACCAGTTGTTATGATGTGCACTGACCACCAGGGGCAGACACTCAATGCAGGAGCTGCCCCCTGGTGGTCAATGCACTCCCACAGGAGGAGCACCACTCAGCCACAAAATGGGCTCATGGCTGGCGAGCACAGTGTCAGTAGCAGGAGCCTCTTCTGCCTTCACAGCAGCACTAAGGATGTCCAACTGCTGGCTTAGGCCCTCTCCCTGCCAAGAATGGGCATAAGATGTCAGTCGGACATCCCTCAAGGGCTCTTGGACTGCCAGAGGCCACAGGCCGGGCTGAGAGAGCCCCCTTTTAGCCCCCACCTCGGAGTGCATAAATCTCATGTAACTAATAATAAAGAAACATGTAAAATTGACTTGCCTCCACTATGTCCACAGCCAATCAGAATGAGTATGCAAATTAACCCAACAAATATGGTGATTAATTTGCATACGTGCCTGGGTCTCAGGAACCTCCTCAGCACCCAGATCACTCCCAGCCAGCCATTGGGCAGAGACTTTAGGCTTGGGAAGGGACCGAGCCTGCAATTGAAGGTGTGGGTGGGAAACCCTTTCCCAAGCCTAAAGCCTGGGGTGGAGGCTTTAGACTTGGGAAGGGGCTGAGCTTGGGATCAGAGGGAAGGGGAAAAATCAATGGAAACATATCTTCAGGTGAGGATAAAAAGAAAAATAAAGAAATGCCATATCCTATGAAAGACACATCATGAAAATGCTTAAAGAAAATTTGTCATTTTTTCATGGTGAAGGGACAGGTGTCCGTGTTGATGAAAACACCTTGGTGGCCATGATGACTGGCAGTGGTTTCAGCAGCGGGGTGATGGGGCTGGTGTCTTCCCCTGATCAGCCTGGTTGCCTCCCACAAAGGGAGGCCAGACTGCGGCTTAGGTTCGCTCCCACTGGAGAGCAGGCCTAAGTCATCAATAGGACATCCCCTAAGGGCTCCCAATATGTGACAGGGGGCAGGCTGGGCTGAGGGACCCCTCCCCAGTGCATAAATTTTGTGCACCAGGCCCTTAGTATTTTATAGCAAACAATGAGCTTCAAATTTTTCTCTTGATTCCTTGAGGGAAGAACTATAAAGTAATAGTAAAATCCTTATTACTGAAAGTATATGTTTAGAGGAAAGTACCTAAGACTGAAAAATGAGCCTAAAAAAGGTATTATGACTAAATGTATACCATAAACATTTAACTGCTTGCTTTAAGTTGGTAAGTGAAAACACTTGTAAAGACATAAAACCTTAAATAAAGCATTTGCCTTCTCACATAGAATGTTTCTATATAACACTAATTGAGTGTTTAATCCTATTGTGTGAGATTCTGTGTATTGAACCCATAAGGTCCTTTTCCTATTAAACCCTGGGACCACTATATCTTAGGCTTGTATTTGCATTTCCCACACAGCTGTAGGCTCAGGACATAACCAGAGTGTTTGGAGTCCTGGGAGGGAATACACTAGCTTCCTCCCTGAGGATGTTCCTATGTAATTGCAAGCATGATGCTTTGGTGGCTACAGAGATGAGTGGATCTGGACCTTGTCCCCAAGGAGTCTAGTTTGGTATATTAAGAATACTAAACACCTGGATTTCTGATGAAAATGCAGGCCATTTTCTTGCTTGTTCCTGAAATTATATGCTTGACCTTTCCTGGAATTATGGAAACCTTGGATGCCACAGCAAAAGCAGCACCTGCCTCAGCACAGACTTTGTTTTCCTCCAGGTCTGTGGGAATTTGAAGGTCAATGTGAAGGTCCCCTTCCAATTTAGTTTGACCCAAGGTTAGAGTCTGAACTACTAGAAAGAAATTTCCAAATTTTGCCAACTAGAACTAAATCTATTTTTTAATGTTTCTGCTAAAAAAAAAAAAAATGGCTTGGAGAAAACTGTCTTGTTTAACTTAGTGATTATCAACTCCAGTCAGTCCGCTCCCATCCCCCTTCCTCATCCAGAGGGAAGAATGCTTAAAAAAAGGAGGATGGACTGACAAGGATGGGCCTGCCATGCTCTACTGTGCTTTTTGTTGTTGTTTGCTATGTTTTGAAAGTTTTAAAAAATATTATGTGGAAAACTAATAATAGCTTCTTAATCATTTTTTTTACAGTAGCATTTATTGAATTGCATAGTAAGTCTTTGTTTTGGAGCAGATTCTCTTGGAAAAGAGCTGTCTTGTCTCTCTTTGGAGCCTAGAAGTGCCCAGCCCAGGCTTGAATTAATAGCTCCAGATATGTTAATCAAGTTGTGGAAACTCCAGAGGATGGTGGCTATGAGGACAATGACAGGAAGCCCCATTAACAAAGAGGGTTAGTAAACATATCACTTTGTTTACCAGGTGATCATAATAAAGCTATATCTCAATCCCCTTAATAAGGGGGAGTGGGTGCGGGGCTGTCAAGATCAGAGAGCTGAGGCATCCAGATCTAACATCTCTAGAGTGAAGTTTTATTTTGAATGTGAACATGGGTGAAAGAGCATCCTCAGGAAAGAAGGAAGAACACTATAACCTTCATCACCAAAACTCATTTTCCTAATCCATTCCACTTCATCAGAAAATGCCTTCAAACTACAGGTATTCTGAAAATATTTGAGGTGGATGCACCTGTTTTGGAGACACTCCAGTCTCAGCTCGTTTGGGTGGGTTTGAGCCTGCCCACATTCATCCGAAAGCCAATAGTTTTGTTGTGCATTCTTCAGGCTTATAGGTGAACAGGAATGAGAAGGAATCATGAGCAGGTAGAATTTTAATAGAGTTCTGAGGATTACATTACCGAAAGCCATGTAGTGCAGGTGAGGAGGAGGCCCAAGAGCCACCTGAGACACCATCACTAATCATGGCTGCATCGCTTGTGTGGTAATTAGTCCTCAGAGGGCCAGAAAAGCCAGAGGTGAAGGCACCTGACCTCTTGTTAGTGCTTTTCAGCTCTTTGACTTTTCTCTGGGACATCAAAATGCTTCAGAAAACAGCCTCAGAATAAAGCACCTCTCAGTCTACCAACCCTGTTAGCATGTCCTAAGGCCACTTGGAGAAACTGCTACTGGAGAATAGGCAGAAACCTAAGTGGACCTGGCAGGCACTATCAAAAGCCTTGCTGACATGGGATCATAGAAATAAAGGACAGTGTAGTGCTGTTATTGTATTTATTGTTGCAGGAAAATCTATCCTGTGACCCCATATTATTAATAGAAGAGAGACATACTTGCTCTTAATACATACTCATCCTTCAAAATATGGTAGAATGTACCCATAAGCAATCTGTGCTATTCACAACATTCTTAGTTTACTTCATTTTCTTAGACCTTTGGAAAGTATTTTTAAAATGTTTCATGATAGATACAACTGGGGAGAAAGTGCACGTGCCATATGTCCTCATTCACTGGAGAAGAATACTAACACTTTTTGGGATAATCTGGTATTTAGACTAAGAAGGTTCATACAATGAGATCCAAGATGTGAACTTATGCAAAATAAACAATCCAAACTAAAAAATAAATAAATGAATTCTGGATGGAAAAATGAGAAGTTTCTACTGTGGGAAGTCCAGTACTGTTAAACTAAGATGCCATCCTGATCCATGTATCAGCTAGGACAAAAAGCACATGACCATAACAAATTATGAACCCTGGCAAATAACCAGACACTCTATAGGTGAAAGGCATGGCAATCTGCTAACAATGGGATTTTTTGCTACAGTGGAAATAAAAGTTTTACAATTAGTAAAAGTGTACATGAAATTATATAAGCACGCATTTCTTAGGAATGGCTCACTAGATTTAATTTCTGTCCTTTTTGAACAGGACAAATGTAGTATATATGAATTTGGCTCAGCTAAACCATATTCTTGTGGGAGCACCCTGGAAGGAAGCAGTGGTTAAAAGTATGGGTTTTAGGGCTGGGCTCAGATTTATGCTTTGCTAAGTACTTACTAGATGGTGATCTTGAACATGTAACCTCTTCAGACTTTCTTTGTATAAAATAGAAACAATACTAATGCTGTGAAGTTATGATAATTAAATGGAATATCATAAGTTAAGAGCATTGTACATATTTTTTGCTCAGTAAACAGTGGTCTCTCCTGTTTTTGAATTTGTGGGGCCCAGGAAAGTAATTGGACATTTTCTATTTTTGGCAGAAACCCAACAATGGCTTTATGTTGAGGATGGGGGAATGAGAGAAAAAGAGAAAAAGTGACCTTGCAGTAGCAACTCAGGGATTTTCCAAGCTACTGATTATTATTCATGTCCTTCCTCACAAAGAGTGGCTGATCAAGTGTGTGCTGTAACTGTTGGAAAAATCTTGGCCCAGTTGGTGTGTGGAGTGGAGCAAAGATCCACTGTTGGAGGGAAGCTTCATGAGGGCACCACTGCCTTAATCAAAGAAGCTTTTTCCAAAGAGTAGCAAAGGGTTCACAGATCAAATCAGTAGCTATTGCCCAAATTAAGGATGTTTCTGGTGTGTGAGGCCCTGTGTAGGCCTCCAGCTTTACTGTGCTTCCAAGTCAAAGCCCTTCGAAGAAGACCAATTTCAGGCTCTTATAGGCTAAGCTTCTATTCCAAGGCATATAGGGAATGTAGCACGAAGGAGCATTGTTCTTCCACAGTCTGAGGAACTAGTTGGGTGTCCAGCCCCAAGGTGAAGGGCGAGAGGGGATGAATAACAGGGGAAGCCTGCACACCCAGGTGGGCCCCAACTTGCTGTCTCTAAGAATAAGGCAAGTCCCCCTGACATTTCAATAATCTACTCACCCAGCTCTGAAAAGAAGCTGTTGGCTTCAAGTAAGAAACACATTCCAATCTAATTCTGAGCTTAGAGTTTGGGGCACCTTAATCTGGCTGTGGCTTTATTAGTGGTAGCCACCAGCTACTGTCCTGAGTATTGAGATCCCACAGATAAATCTTTCACCCTAAACTTTTCCATTTTGCTCATAAGAGTATCTGGCTTATTCACTATAAAACTAAATACCATTTTGCTGGGATCAGTACATACACATTTTAAAGCTTTTCAAGGTTATTATATTTAATTTTATGGTACATCATATTTACAAGAACAACTGATCTCTATAAAATGTCTCAAAAAAAAAAAAAAGTGTAACCCTGGTCAGGTGGCTCAGTTGGTTGGAGTGTCATCCCATATACCAAAAGGATATGGGTTCGATTTCCTGTAGGGGTATGTGCTGGAGGCAACTGATAGATATTTCTCTCCACATTGATGTTTCTTTCTCTCAAATATTCTCTCTATCTCTTTAAAACATCAATAAGGCATATCCTCAGATGAGGATAAAAAAAAAACTGTAGAAAAACTATTATATATATATATTTTTTCAGGACTTCAGGACTTACCTGAAAACTCTAGAAAAGTTTTGCTGAGTATATTAAAAAATAAATAAATAACCGAGACCAGTTTGGCTCAGTGGATAGAGCGTCGGCCTGCGGACTGAAAGGTCCCGGGTTCGGTTCTGGTCAAGGGCATGTATGTTGGTTGCGGGCACATCACCAATAGGAGGTGTGCAAGAGGCAGCTGATCGATGTCTCTCGCTCGTTGATATTTCTACTCTTTGTCTCTCTCTCTCTTCCTCTCTGTAAATAAACAATAAAATATATATTTAAAAAATAACTAATTAAATAAATAAATAAATAAATAAAAACTCTTAATTTATCGATTACCTCCAGGAATCATTGCACTTTTCAAATCTGTTGTTAAATGAGCTTTTCCTTCTTTAATTTTTTTTTTTTTTTTTTAACATCTGGAGTTGAGGCATTAACCAAATCCATATGTGTCACAGACTACAAATAAAGGCACAATTTTGGAAAATACAATGCCAAATGTTTCCTTTAAAGTTAGATGCAAATGATCTCCTCCTCACCTTTCTACACATTCCTTGACAACAGCAAAATTTCCATCTCCTATTGTCCTTCCAACTTTATATCGTTCCGTTATTGTGGCTGGAATCTGGAAGCCTTCCTCCGACACTTCTGAAAGAATCATTAGTTTGTTTTTATGGGTAAAAAAGAGAACACAGATGTTGCACAAAGGAGACATTTAGAAATATCATCTAATAGACTGAAACTGACTCAGAATCAATAGGTCATTTTCTGTACAGCAAGGCCAGCCCCCTCTACTGACATTGTATATTCAACAGTTTTACTAAGTTTACAAAGGGTAAACAAAAAAAACCCCATAAACATATGAGGTCCACTCTCACATATCTAAGAGCAACACATGCTGTCTGCTGCAGTTGGGATTCTGAAGAGGAAATTTAATTTTTTTATTTTATGTCAATTTGATCAATAACATTGACTGCATATCCACTGTGTGCAGAGAAATTGCCTTTCTAAGTATGGCTCAGGTGGTAAATACAGTTCACAAGGGACTCTGGGCTGCCTGACATTGTACATGAAAATGCCTTCTATGTACACTTATCATTGCTACATCCCGAAGTGGAGATCTCCATAAAATTCCATATGATCTCAGCGCTGATTGCCACCCCTTCACAATATCTGTGAGCAGACTTTAGACAAAATTTTCACCAGCAACCTGCATAGCAGATGTTGAGTTAAAATTGCAATACCTATTACGTCTGTGAACAGAAAAGTTTTGTAGTTTCAATAATGTTAGTGCCACTAACACAACACATTTTCCCACTTAAAATGTATTTTTGAAATATTTTATAAATGCCTAATAATGATTTAAATATCTAAGGCCATAAAACTAAATAAGCCACACTTAGGTCACATAAATATACTGGATAACCTTTAACATCTCAGGGGTGTAAAAAGTCTTTTATAATTGGACTCTAAAATTTACATGCTTTAATGTTATATATCTAAGCTCCCCTCAGGCAACCTGAATACAAAATATGATGGAAGCCTAATGTGATTTCTAAATGTGCTCCCATTTAAACTGAGACTAAACATTTCTTCTTAAAATAAAATTAAAACATTAGGTGGTAAATGGGCTTTCTTGAAGTTTATGTTCTTAATCTGTAATGTCAGGGAACAACAAATGAAAACTCAAAACTATCAGAACTTTATTTTGATTTTGTGGTAAACTCATCTGCAATACCGTGGATTCTAGGGTGGATGGAATTTCTGGAGAGTTCTGTACAAATGGAGGACATGTGCTTCTATACTAGACATTACTGCAGTCTCTTCACCTCTTTATGACATTTTACTCAACCCACTAGAAACTATCACAGTGGCTTCTAGAATAAAATGAAAGCCAGAGCCAGTTAAACCTTTCATACCTATCATATCACCCGAAAGAAGCCAACAATTTTGTTTGTTTAAAAGACTCAGCCTTGGAGTTTTTTTGTTTTGTTTTGTTTTTTGTGTTTTTTTTTTGTTTGTTTGTTTCTTGTTGTTGTTGTTTTTAATCTACTCAATAGGAATTAGAAGAGATGGTTGGAGAAGTTTCAAATCCACTACAAAGCATCCTAATTTACAAAAAAATCTCTCAGATGACATGATTTTAAGGCTCTTAACTACACGAGTAATAAAAGTAAACATCCTTGGCTATTGGATGGGGAATCCAATGTGCTTCTGTCCAGCGGGAGCATCATTTAGGCACCCAACTGGAGCACAAAGTTTGGGATATTTTCCCCCTGACTATTGGCTAGGCTTTTGGCTAAGAATACTTAGCCAAAAGTTTATCAAGGGCCTTTTCATTTCATTAAATAAATATAACATACTAGAACAAAAGAGACTTCTGAATGGCTAAATTTCATACATCTTGGGGGAGAGGGGAGTCTGATATTTCATGGTAGTTGAGAAATAATTCTTGTGTAACGTATTATCTCACTTAACATAATTAAATTGCTCTCATGCTCTACCCCATAGATAATTTTGGGGGAAAGTTAAGTAGTATAATTTAAAACAAATAAGAGTCCGTGAATTTTATTTTATTTTTAAGTTCATTGTTATTGTTGAGAATATTAGAGATATCCCCCATTTTCCTCCTTTAGACTCCCTTCACCTGGCTCCTGCCCCACTCCAGGCCTTCACCACCCTACTGTCTGTGTCCATAGGCAATGCTTATATGCATGTAAGTTCTTTAATTAATTTCTTTCTCCTCTCCCTCCCTTCTACTTTCCTTCCCTCTGAGATTTGGCAGTCTGTTCCATGTTTCAATGACTCAAAGAGTAATAGATCCTTATCTTTTATAGTTGCATAGTATTCTATTGTGTAAATGTACAACAGCTTTTTTAATCCACTATGATGGGCACTTGGGCTGTTTCCAGATCTTAGCTATTGTAAATATTGTGATGGGCAAAGGGATGCATATATTCTTTCTGATTGGCGTTTCTGGATTCTTAGAATATATTCCCAGTGGTATATTCTATTTTATATATAACAAATAAATAAAAATACAAATAAAACAAATAAAGGGAGGGTTTTTTTTAGTAGTAGTTTGATCATATCAGTTTCATACTTTTCTGAATGCCTTCCTGTAATTGATTTGAGCCTGTTAACCCAAGAAAGGAAATAGGTGTGTATTGCAATCTTTATTTTACAGAGGAGGAACTAAAATATGGAGAGTTAAAAAGCCTTACCCAAAACAATCCAGTGAATTAGTGAAAAAGTCAATTCTGGATTCAGGTCATTTGACCACATCACAGAAAAATTCTAAAGTGAATTAGATCAAGGCACAAAGAGAATTTTTGCAATTATCATTAGTAATTCTTTTTGTAAAGCCATATTTTCACATATTGAGTTCATTTAAGTTAGAATTTATCTGCAGGGCTATAACAGTCAATCAAGAGAGTATACTGTAAAAAAGAAGGATCTCTTACCCTTTGAGACAACATGGAGGGACCTGAAGAATATTATGTTAAATAAAATAAGCCCTTCAGAGGAAGACAAGTATCATTTATATGAACACCATAAACTGACAAACAAAATAGATTCAGAAGCTTGGAAACATGGGACAGACTAACAAATCTCAAAGAGAAAAGGAGCAAGGAGTGAGTGGTGGGAAGATGTTAACCAAATAATTTCTTATGCATATATGCATAGCGCATGGACATAAACAATAGTGTAGTAGTCCTGTTAGTGGGAGGGAGTAATAGTTTGGAGGGACTCAATGGGATCTAAAAGGGGATATCTGCAATACTTTCAACAATAAATATAAGATTTTTAACAAAGAAGGAGTATACTATAATTGAGCAGAATTCAGAAAAACAAAAGCAGAAATCACCTCCATTTATTTCCAAAGGCTGGCCTTCCTAGGATACTTACATGCTTAGAGGACATGAAACATCTCCAAATTAGGCTGACTTCCTCTTCCTGTTCCCACAGAGTAGATATGATCCCTACTGGGAATCATATTTAATCCTATCCCCTTGCTATTGACCCTTATGAGCTGCATCAGGCTTGTCCATTTCATTCTGCTTGAGAAATTACAGTTTCTGGAGTAAATTTAGCCAACCTATCCTCTGACCCCTGTCCAAGCTGAGCCTTTTCCTCAGACACCAAGTCACAAGCTCACCACCTTCTCCGGGTCCATCATTCTCATCCATCGAGCTGCATACTTTGGTGGACGCAAGTGAAGTAGAGGAACCTCCATGCTGAGAGCTCTGCCAGGGAACAGACACAGAAGGAAAGCTCCAGTCAGAGTGCCGAATGCCCAGGGGCTGTGCCCACGCCTAGGGAGGACTCGATCTGAACACTCAGAAAGGTTGGACTTCATACTACTCAACTAGGACTACACCCCCTCCCTACCCTCTTAACTAATAATACACTGTGTTAAGCTAATCACCATCAAATTGGATGTTTCATGGCTTTTTATTCCTTTTACTAAGAATTAGCATTCTTTAGCTTACTGTTTCAATTTGGCAGATTTGAGGCGTCTTGCCTCACTTTTCCACAGTCTGAGTACAAGCCTCAAATACATCACCATTCTGATCTCATGGAGTATTTTCCTATTCTTACCTCAGAAATGTTTACTCTTCAATTTGAAATAGCTTAGACAAAGTATTTAGCCTTACCGAATCCTTAGAGAAAGGTACAAGGGTGGATTTGTTTATTCCATTTTGAGATGAAGACACAGTATTCAGCAGTTTATCGATATGTTAAACCTTACACAATAAATATGAGGAATAAATACCTATGCCTGGTGATTTATTGTATGTTTGGTGCATTTTGACACAAAGATCCATGAGAACAGACAGAGTAACAACTATATTATGAAGTTTAGAGGATGCAACAATTCCAAATATTTAATACTATGATCAGCAATGGGGCAGAAGTTTAACAATGAAGGTTCCCTCTCTGCATCTATTCTTTGAGAAAACAATTTGCACCTTTCAATGCTACTTCTAGATAGTGAATGCAGCTTATCCTAAAAGATCTTCCTTCTGTTTCCCTGAATTTATTCACTTGGTTGGCCTAATGGGAAAAGGAGGCAGTGAGGGGGTGGCATTGGTTCATGGTGCTGGCTGTCTGTGGAGCAGAGAGGAGGGAAAGAGTCTCTGTAGTTGAATTAATAATGAAGATGTGGTGAGAAGCAAAGCTGACCTAGTTTTTCTCTACTTATCAGTCTCCCTTCAACCTCCCCCATTCAAACCAATTTTAACAAAGTAGGAAGGAAGAAAAGTTTTATATAATTTAACCAAGAACTCAGTATCTTGCATAGAAAATTCAAATATTTTAATTTTCACTGAAAATTAATGTAATTGAGGAAATGCTATTTAAATCTCTGAAGGTCCATTTGAATCAACTGCCATGAACATATCCCAGATGCAGCTAAAATGAACAGATTCCATTGTATGAGTTCAGCAAAGCCAACAATTGACAAAATTGTGATAAAAGTTCTATTTTTTTAAAAGCTAAATTCACAGCAGTAAATGATCCTGCTTCTTTACAGGACATTCAAGAAGTTTTATAGTTACTCTAGTAAACCTCTAAATGTCACATAGTTTGGGTGGTGTGTCTTTTATTTTTTAATATAATTAAAATTCCCTATTAATCAGCCTGACTACTTGAGCTATTTTTCCATCCTCTCTCATCCAACCTCCCTCTGTGACCAGCAGCGTACATTTGTCCTATGTCAGGCTAGAAAGAGGGATTCAGATTGTAACCTTGAAATGGAGTTTTTCTTGGTGTGACACTATGTAGCCACAACCTGTTGCAGGTATTGTAAATGTATGAGTTTCTAAGCCATGCTTTGCTGACTTTTATGAATATTTGTTTGTGAAAACATCATATTTATAATACTGGAATGTAATATGGAAACAAGACAGATTTATGATGTAGTTTTCTAGAAAAAAAATACATTAAAATTACCACATTTGAAGGGAAGATGTGTGTTTTCCACAACAGTGAGATAATGTATCCTCCGTGTCATTGCCTTTGCTGTAGACATAATGGTCTTCTGAGCAGAAAAGCAGTAGGATAATTTCTAAAATGTAAACCTCTTCTTCTGGACTTTCTGATTTCTTTAATTTTTTTTCCAGCCGCATCACAAATGGTGCTTAATAATGTAGACACATTGTGATTTGGGGCGTCAGGTATGTCTTGTCATATGGTGTTTTAAATTTTAAAATCCAAAGACACATTATTTCACCAAGCACCAGAAATAACAGACCAGTAATGTGTTTCTTACCAAAGATGTCCCTTCATTTATGTACTCAATTCACAGGGGAATCTTCTCAAACTATTTCAAAAAATTCAAGAGGAAGGAATACTTCCAAACTCTTCTTATGAGTCCGAAGCCAGATTAAGATATGACAAAGAAAGGGAACTACAACACCCCTGATAAGCATAGATGCTAAAATCCTCAACAAAGTGTTAGCAAATTGGATCTAGCAATACATTAAAAGGATAATATATCTTGACCAACTGGGATTTATTCTGGAGATACAAGGCTGGTCCAATATTCACAAATCAATAAATGTGATACAGCACATAAACAGATTGCAAGACAAACATCACATAATCATAACAATTGATACAGAAAGAGCATTTAACAAACCCAACACCCTTTTTTGATAAAAATTCTCAGCAAAGTAGGACTAGAGAGATCTTACCGCAACATAATAAAGGCCACGCATGACAGACCTGCAGTCAACATTATACGCAATGGGCAAAAACTGAAACCATTTCCCCTAAGAACAGGAATAATACAGGGATGACCACTTTTACCACTCTTGTTCAACATAGAACTGGAAGTCCTGGCCATAACAATTAGACAAGAAGAAAAAATAAAAGGCATCCAAAATGGAAAAGAATAAGTAAAAGTATTATTATTTGCAGATGACATGATACTGTATGAAGAAAATCCTGAAGACTACAAAAAAAAACTACTAGATTTGCCGATACTGGTTTAGCTCAGTGGTAGAGCGTCTGTCTGTGGACTGAAAGGTCCCAGGTTCGATTCCAGTCAAGGGCATGTGTACATTAGTTGTGGGCACATCCCCGGTAGGGGGTGTGCAAGAGGCAGCTGGTCGATGTTTCTCTCTCATCGACGTTTCTAGCTCTCTAGCTCTCTCCCTTCCTCCTCTCTGTAAAATATCAATAAATATATTTTTTTAAAAACTACTAGATTTAATAAATAAATTCAGAAACATAGCAGGATACAAAGTTAACACCCAAAAATTCATAGCATTTTTATACACCAATAGTGAACTCTCAAGAAGAGAAATAAACAACAACAACAACAAAATAAATCCCAATTACCATTTCAACAAAAAAATAAGATACTTAGCAATAAACTTAACTAAGGAGAAAAAAGATCTGTACTCCAAAAGGACCTTGAAAAAAGAGATAGAGGAAGATATACACAAGTAGAAGAATATATCATATCCATGGACTGGTAGAATAAACATCATTAAAATGCTCTTACTATCCAAAGCAATCTACAGATTTAATGCAATTCTATTAAGATACCAATGACATATTTCACAGACCTAGAACAAACACTCCAAAAATTTATATGAAACCAAAAAAGACCCCAAATAGATGCAGCAATCTTGAGAAAGAAGAACAAATTGAAGGAATCACAATACCAGATATCAAGTTATACTGCAAAGCCACTGTGCTCAAATCAGTCTGGTACTGGCACAAGAACAAGCATTTAGGTTAATGGAACAGAACAGAGAACCAAGAAATTGACCCAAGCCATTATGCTCAATTAATATTTGACAAAGAAGGCAAGAGCATACATTGGAATAGAATCAGTCTCTTCAAAAAATGGTGATGCATGCAAAAAAAAAAATGAAACTAGACCACCAACTTATACCATACAAAAGAATAAGCTCAAAATGGATAAGAAGTGTAAGAAGTGAAACCATAAAAATCTTAGAAGAAACTATAGGCACCAAAATCTCTTGTAGCAATATGTTTACCAATACATCCCTTAGAATGATGGAAACTAAGGAGAAAATAAATAAATGGGACTACAATAAATAAAAAGCTTCTGCACTGCAAAAGAAACCATCAACAAAATAACAAGAGAGCCCACTACATGAGAGAACATATTTTCCAATGATACATCCAATAAGGGGTTAATCTTCAAAATATATAGAAACTCATACAACTTAACAAAAGGAAGACAAACAATCCAATTTTAAAATGGGCAAAGGATTTAATAGACACTTTTCCAAAATGGATATACAGAAAGTCAAGAGACATATGAAAAAATGTTCAAAGTCACTGATCATCTGAGAGATGCAAATCAAAATAACAATGAGGTATCACTTCACAACTGTCAGAATGGCTATCATCAACAAATCAACAAAAGACAAGTGTTGATGAGGTTGTGGAGAAAAGGGAACCCTCGTGCACTGCTGGTTGGAATGCAGACTGGTGCAGCCACTGTGGAGAACAATATGGAGTTTCCTCAAAAAATTAAAAATGCAACTCCCATTTGACTTGGTGATCCCACTTATACAAATATATGCTAAGAACCCCAAAACACTCATCAGAAAGAATATATTCAATAAAAACAAAAGAACTCACTATTTGCAACATAGACGGACCTGGAAAGCATTATGCTGAGCCAAATAAGTCAATCAGAGAAAGATAAGGATCACATGTTCTCACTCATATGTGAAATCTAATGAACCAAATAAACTGATGATAAAAAATAGACCCAGAGACATAGAAGCATGAACAGACTGTTGAACCTCAGACAGAAGGTAAGGAAAGGTGGGTGAGAAGAAATGAATCAAAGAACTTGTATGCATATATACATAAACTGTGGTCACAGACAATGAGGCGGTAAGGGTCTTAGGGGGTGGATGGGAGCTGGCTGGAAGAGCTTAATGGGGGGAAAAGGAGGATCTATGTCATACTTTCAACAATAAAGACTTTTTAAAAAATCAAAATGGATGAAATATTTAAATGGAAGTCATGAAACCATAAAAATCCTAAAAGAAACCTTAGGCAGCAAAATCTCAGATATCTTAGCAATTTGTTTGCTAATATATCTCCTAGGGCCACAAAAAGAAAGGAAAATTAAACAATTGGGACTATTTTTGAATAAAAAGCTTCTGCATAGCAAAGGAACCATCAACAAAATGAAAAGGGAGCTCACTGTATGGGAGAACAATGATGCAACTAATAAAGGGTTAAATTC